ACAAACATGTTTTAAAATACAGTAAAAAAATAAGTATTTTGCCATAACTTTTTCTAAAATTACAGAAATGTCTACAAAAATTAGTGTCTACAGTTACGTTATACCTGCATTACAGAAATGTCTACAGTTACATTATACTTGCATTACAGAAATGTCTACAAAAATTTGTGTCTACAGTTACATTATATCTGCATTACAGAAATGTCTACAAAATTTGTGTCTACAGTTACATTATACCCGCATTACAGAAATGTCTACAAAAATTTGTGTCTACAGTTACATTATACCTGCATTACAGAAATGTCTACAAAAATTAATGTCTACAGTTACATTATACTTGCATTACAGAAATGTCTACAAAAATTTGTGTCTACAGTTACATTATACTTGCATTACAGAAATGTCTATGCCTCTGATTGAAACTATGAAAAAATTTAAGTAAAAAACATAAAGTTAGGAATAAATAATAAATCTATATATAAGTTAAAATAAAAAACTGATCATTGTTGTATCAATGATTTTGTTTCACTTTCCATAAGTTTTTCGTAATTCTAATATTTGCATATCCCATGAGCAGAATTCAATCTTGATAGCTCTATGAACTGAATTTTAGGACTAACCTGCTAATAAGACACTTTTTAAGAACTGAAACTACCACAAGTACACAACTTGGCTGTTTAAACTTTATTGAAATCATTTAATCAGGTTCTATCTTATTAACCTTCAGTTTGTCTGGCTGAATAACATTAATTTCTTGCATACTAGTTACTGTACCTTTCATTGGACTGGGTATTTCTTTTGTTTTAAATAGATTTTATTTTATTGCTTTTCAGAAACATCGTGGAATGCTAGTGTCCTTAACTGAAGTAGGAATAACGTTCGGTTTTCTTCTTGCCTTTCTTATTAACTACCTATTCATATCTATCCCTCGAGGGTGGTACGTATATGTGCTTTTATATAGGATGTTTGGAATGAAATATTAATTGATTAGCATGTAAAACATGCATCGCCAATGTATATATGCGAGACCTAGCATCGTACATAACAAGTGAGATTGAAAACAAATGTTCTGAAGTTGTTACAAATAAAGTGATCTACATTCTTTTTTTCTGTAAAAAAAAAAACTTGTATTTGTTAAAAGTTTTTAGTTTTTTCTTCATCTGTTTTTTACTTTAAGAAATTATTGAAAAAACAACAACATTTTCACGATTTATTTGCTGTTTTCAACTAACTGCAGCGACTGTTATCTGTTTGGATACTGGCCCGGCATGATCAGGTGGTTAGGGCGCTCGACTCGCAATCTGCTGGTCGCGGGTTCGAATCCCCATCCCACCAAACATGCTCAGCCGTGGGGGCGTTATAATGTGATGGTCAATCCCACTCTTTGTTGGTAAAAGAGTAGTCCAAGAGTTGGCGGTGGGTGGTGATGACTAGCTGCCTTCCCTCTAGTCTTACACTGCTAAATTAGGAACGGCTAGCGCAGATAGCCTTCGTGTAGCTTTGTGGATAAGAAAGAAAAAATATTTTTGTACTGTGGCCCTGATGTTTGTTCATATATGTATACAAATTATGTATACATATTATTTACTGCTCCATATTGTCAGAGCATGTAATCCTGTCAGTTAGATTACATATTAATGTTTGTAAGTGTGTATGAAAGTCCTAAATTAAACAAAATACAATTTTTTTTATCAATTAAAAATAAAAATGCATGTTTAACTTTTCGATATATTGGTAAAAAAATATAAGCTCTAAAAAAACTTGAGAACTTGGTTCATCTGTGATAAATAAACAAACATACAAACTAAAAAAATCATAACTGAACCAAGAAAACTTTAAAAACGGGAAAAAAAAAAAGTTAAATAAATAAATAACGTCTTTGTTTAGATATGTTTAATAATGTGGTTTGGATCTTATAAACTGATTGAAACTAATAGCTTAATTTTAATGAAAACACTGGTAAAAATCAGGATACAAAACTGCCAAATCAAAGTATTGTATTCATTACAAATTTTTGTCTTGTGACATTGCATACTTCTAGATAGACCAGTTTATTGATAATCATGAGTTCTTGCTATTGAAATGAATGACAAAATGATAGTTTAAAGATGTTTCGTAGAATAAAGAGTCCCATATTTCTTTACAGGCAATACATGTTTGGTCTAGCTGCAGTGCCTGCTGTTTTACAACTTGCAGGAATGGTTTTTCTTCCACGTAGTCCGTATTATTTGTTGATGATCGGGAAAAATGAAGAGGTACCAGGAATGTAACTTTTATTATAAATCAATGATATTAATCCATAAAGGGCCTAACATTAAAAGTAACTGTTAATTATGGTTATAAACCACTTCCTGTTTATAATACGTAAACAAGTTGTTTCCTTTTTTACTAAACCATCTTAAAACTATTACTCTTATTCCAACCTAATGCGAGTTGTCTAAAATCCAAGCTTTAACTTTTACAAAATAATAATGAATTTGTTTTTACTGAATGCAAAACCTTTTTATTTATCATTTTGAATTTTTTTGTTATTTAGTTTTCGCCACTTTTAAGTCTCGTTAATTTCCCAGTAGCTTCATTTGAGCGTAAAAGAGCCTTCTGATACGATGTATAACCTCTAGCTTTTCCAATTCAGTTTTGCTCTCTATATGCCGACCTTTTCACGTGAGACTTGCCTAATTTTCCATGTGATATTGCAGCTGGTTCCCTCTATACTAATTATTCAGTCATCACTTCACAACATCAATGTTTGGTTAAAGTATCTACAAAACCAACTGTTTTTATTTTCAAACAATTCTGCCTCTGTAGACTTTATGGCTGTTATTTTTCACAGCATGAATCGCATACAGATGATAATTTCCATGCTGTCTAGTGTTGAACGTCTGGACTTTGGTGCTGGGGGCTTCTTTGTCTGTCGGGGGACATGACGGCTGTCACAAAAATATATTATAGTAAATACATGGAGATGTAACCGAATGCACGTTCAGAAAGGGATGGCACCATCGAACAATGCTTGCACACCTCTGTTTGTGTTAGTTAAGTTTCATGACAATGAACATCTGTTTCAAGATTGTTTCTTGTGTAACGATTGCATTACAAACATTCAACGAGGATCTGGGTCCACGAGACCCAGATATATATATTTTGGTTTACACACGTAAGAGTTTATGCTTACGATTTTTATTGCTTGTCACATTGTTTGCTTTGTGTAAAAGATTGTGAGCATCAACTAAATGTCATCCTCCACCCCATTTGTAAAGTGGTCTCGATGCCACTGTATTTTATGTTCTTAAAAGTCACGTGGAGAAGGTGCATAGTAAGCAACGAAGAGCGTAGCATTGCTATAAACAAACATGTGTAGACAGTGGGATACGTTATTAAAGATTTTGCATGCTACGCGGTGTGAAAATGTGTGGATTTTGGTGATCAACCGGTATTCACACGCACTGTTGTTCTATGAAACATTTTATAATTATTCAAATATAATATCAATGTCATTTAAGTACATTCAGTTTCAATAACGATTTTTTTAAACTAAATTCACATGTCTAAAAGTTTTTGATATAGAATCTACAAGTAATTAGCATTTTTATAATTAAGTGTCGTAACTAAGTGTCATACGAGTTGAGTGTTCTTCTTATGTGATTAGGTCAAACAAAGATTTTCGTTGTATAAAGAGTTTTGTGTAGATGTATTAACACTCAAGCATTTCAGTTGTCCTGTCATGGAGTTTAAGTTATTCACATGAAGATAAGTATCTTAAAAATGAAATACTGTTTTTATGAAGGTTAACATAGTGCCAGCATACCAGAATTTATGTTTAAAAAAGTCTTTGTGTAACAGTCATGTTCTATGTTACCGATTTCATTATTACTATGGATTTTAATACTTGGAAAACAAAAAAGGAATATAATTTAGAAAAAACTGGTGTAAAATAAGAATTTGTTCAATGCACGAGAATGATGATGCTGTGATAGGAAATGTGTTACAGTTCGTGTCATTTCTTGGCAGGCAGCTGCTGTATTAAACAAGATTTCTCCTGGTGGTGATACATCAAAACTAATAGAATCTATTCAAAGAGACATGGCACAGCAAAAGGTTAGGATCTGCAAAGATTTTCATATAATTTCTATCAATGGGACTATTTCCTAGTCCTAGGAGAGCCTAAAATCATTTTATATGTGCAACAAGATGTTATTTATATCAACAGAAATGTTTGCAATACAGTTATCCCTTGCCAGTTGTGGGGGATAGGTTCTAGAAATTGCCGCAAACTGTAAATACCATTAGTAATAAAGGGGGCAGTGACTGCGGAGGAGGCAGGCGGAGGACTCGGAGAGGTTACACAGGAGGGTCTGCACAGAAACTCCATGGTTTAACAAAGATTGAGAACATGTGGGATACTGTGGTGTGTGGCAAGAGAGCGTGGGATGCACAGTGCAGCACAATGCAAGCCCCGCACTAGTTTTGGGGATGGACTGTAGATGTATCGCGAAAACTCAATATACAAATGGTAAAACTGAGAACGACAAGGGATAACTGTATAATTAAAAACAAAAATATTGAAATATTTCATAAGTTCATTTGCTGAAGTTACGTTTATCCAAACTTTTAAATTTTCATGTAGTAGTAGTAGTAGCTTTAATAATTATTAACATGATGTTTCAAACATAAACATTTTTAAAATCATAAATATTATTAAACATTAAACTGGTACACAATTAAAAACATTTTATTTAGGCCTATCTATGGCCTTCAAAAGAGTTGATGACTACATGTTTCGACGTTACAACGTCATCCTCCACTCCTTCATTTCGCCATCCTTCATTAATCAGAAGATTTTTAAATTATTTATTATAATCTTAAGCAATTTCTCAGACCTATTATTTCAGAACTGGTACAAACTGATCAATTTTTATCAACATACAATTAAAACAATGACATCATTTAAAGTAAACAAAATGTTGGCAGTATATTTTTTCATCTATGTAGGACAGATGCGGCATCTTTACTCTTTCTAATATTTTATTTTTGTGTGTTTAAGAATCCATTAAAAATATTTGTGCTAAGTGAAGTATTGTATTCACAATCATTACTTCAACTTTACTGGATAATTGTGTGCTGCAGTGTTTTTAGTGTTCCCTAGAGTTTACGTGATCTGTAGGTTAAGACTGCTGATCATATATATACAACATGGATGACTTTCTTGCATCTCGTTATGTTTCTTTCCACAGTTGATAACGTACTGCCAGCTGTGTAGTTCCAAAGACAACATGTCTGTAAGAATGGCTATAGGAATGGGTCTTGTTTTCTTACAACAGGTATGTGCATGTAATAGTTTCTCAATAAATATAATTGTAAAAGATAAACTTTAACCACGATCATTTCCAAGTCTTAGTTCCTAGTAATAACACTTCCGTTTTAACGTACAATTGTAAATCATTAGTGGATAACTTTTAACCGTATGACTGCAGCTGTATTATACATGTGTGAAATTTTTGTGAGCCGTACACTGTTTGCCGCACACTCGCGTTCAACTGCCAGAGGAGGACCGTACCATCATGAATCAGCAGTCAATGGATTAAGTAAATTGTTCTTTATCATTGACCAAAACTCGGCAATTTTAAGTTGTTTTTTAGGCCCTGTTCCTATATAATTTGTTTATATTATAAATAAACCTAGTGAATAATTTATTCTTTTAGTCAGGTGTTTGTTTTGAAACACGCAGTAATATTTTTACTAAACTTTTTTTGTCCAGCACATAAACTAGGTTGTAATAAAGAGTCAAGTCTTTAATTTGTTTTTTAATTACTAATATCACTTTGCTTTCTTTCTTCAGTTTACAGGCCAGACGAACGTCTTGTATTATGCACCACTCATCTTTCAACAAGTTGGATATACATCAGACGAAGGAGCTACTCTGGCTGCACTTGGTTTGGGTGTAATTAAGGTGTGGACTTTTTTATTAAATAATTTGATGATAGGTTTTTGATTTTTTTTTAAAAACTGAATCATAATTTTCTCCTTTGACTAGCAGTAGTTTAATTAGACAGTGTTTGCTACCTTATCTGCAGTTATTTGTACATAATGTTATTTTGAAAACATTACTTACGTTACATAGGGTGATTTTTCTGTATAACTTGATTATACAAAATCTGCGGTTCTAGCTAGTTAACACGATCAAGAATTCCACCACTAGTTGCCAATAAAATCGTTCCCTTTTTGACATTTATGTTCGCTGTGCTAATTATGTCTTTCAAATAATGAATTACCACTTTTGATTGGCTCAGAATTACCACTTTGAACTATATCGTTTATCATCATACCAGCTAGATCGTAAAGAAACTTGTTCAGTTATACGTAAATAGTAAGTTATTCTGGGGCATATTATGGTGAAGCCTTTTCTTACAAAGCAACCGATGAGTAAAGCTTTCTTTATGTTGCAAGGTAAACTGTAAAATGTATTAGCTTACATTATTTAACCAAGGGACTGATCCTGTATTGGTCAAGGAATGTTGACTATAATTCCGAATTTACTGCTTGATCTACATAAAATGTGGTGAACTTTTAGTGAAATGAACATGTTTGTTGTACACGAAACATCAGATGTGTTTAAAAATGTACTAGTACTCAAAGAAATGTCTGTGAATTGATGATGTCAGTCTAACTCGGACAAGTCAAAGTGCAAATTGATGTTTATGTGAAGAATAGAAGTACTTTAGTATCTGTATTACGAAATACATATCCACAGTATTTTTCAGTATCCCTGTATAATATACGTATCCACAGTATTTTTCAGTATCCCTGTATAATATTATGTATCCACAGTATTTTCAGTATCCCTGTATAATATATCTATCCACAGTATTTTTTAGTATCCCTGTATATTGTATCTGGTATTTTCTCTAGCATAAACTATTATAAAATCCACAGTGTAAAGTAAAATGAAAAATTGATAACTCTGACACCAATTATGCAATATCATGTTGAGTGTCACCCCATAAAAGGTCGTAGCATGCAACAGTTTGACCTCCACCCATGCACATAGGATTAACAAAGTACATACCATTAAAAATGGGCCCACAATTTGGAAATATATTGATTCTCGTAAGGTTCTTTCGCATGACAGTTACTACCATTGACCTGCTGGAGCTGATGAGAATTAATATTATTGAAAAATATAGCACCCTGGTGGTCAAGATATGACTTGATACTGACTTATGTATACCTTTCTTTCAGCAGTCTGCATCAGTTAATTAGTGTAGCATGTACAATTCTGACCCTAAAAGTGAAAAACATTTACTATTTATATTTTTATGCTTAGCTCAGCTGATCAGTGTAAAAATGATGACAACAGAAATGTCACTTACTTATCTTAAGGGTAACAGGGCTGAGTTTGTTGTATTTAAATATGTCAGTTATCTTAAGGGTAACAGAGCTGAGTATGTTGTATTTAAATATGTCAGTTATCTTAAGGGTAACAGAGCTGAGTATGTTGTATTTAAATATGTCAGTTATCTTAAGGACAACATAGGGCTGAATATGTTGTATTTAGATATGTCACTTATCTTAAGGGTAACAGGGCTGAGTATATTATATTTAAATATGTCACTTACTTATCTTAAGGGTAACAGAGCTGAGTATGTTATATTTAAATAATTTTGAATATCCAAACCAGCAAGACGTGACAACCACAGCAGATATAAAACTGTGGTGGAACAGAATGTATCAGAACTATGTTTTGACATGGTCTTTTTTGGGGTTTCACAGATAGGGTGGTGCTAGCAGAAATTAATATTTTTAGGGAAGGATACGTAACGGCTCTTTATGATGCAAAATAGTTATACGTTCATATCATAAAAGAAGTGTCCAGATTGGGAATTTATAATTTTCATTATGAGGTGTCTCTTGTACCTTATGGCACTGGAAAGTAAAGTCATATGGATGAACTTGGAAGACCAGGAACACCCAGCCACGGCAAACAAAGTGTGTCACCTTGTAACAAATGAGAATTCACATGCCCAAGGCAACAGCATGCAACATAATGAAGAAGGATATCTGTTTGGAAAGTAGGCCAACAGGGTATGGGTTCACCAAGATAAGACTTCCAATTATACCTTCCATTCAATCATCGCATACCTAAAACATCTCAAAAATGAAATGGGTATTCCATACAAATACATACTGTTTGATTGAACAATGGAAGCGAGTACTGGAAACCATTGTCTTAATGCACTAGATGGATTATGGAAAGCTTACAGGGAGTAGTAGTGTGCTTTAGACATGGAAGCCTTACAACACAGGCTTTGGATGTGGCAACACGTATTTGAAACAACCAGGTAAGGCTCCACTATAATGTTTTATATATAACATACTCAACCCTCTGTATAACATTACTATATCATGGCATCAGGATAGTATATCATTACTGTACTTTGGTGTCAGTATTAAGGGGTAGGTTATCATTACTGTATTGTACTATCAGTATGTATGTAGGTATGTACTTACGTGCTTCAATTCTGGGGACAACTTTAATTTAAAAAATTAAAAGCCCAACTAAAGTCTACTGTGTATACATTTTGTCTCAAAATGTTTGCTTTTATTAGCTTTATGACCACTGGAGTTATAGGCTTCTGTATATTTTCTTGAACATAGGCTCATGAAAATTTCATGACTACACACACATTATTATGTAATTAACTTTTCAACAGAAACGTTTAATGAGACATATTATTAGATAGGTAACGTCCAACACAAATATTTCTTTTTTCATCTCGTTATTAAACCTGGTGGTGTTTTAGGTATCAAAGATAAAATTTTGATAAAATTCCAGGTGATTGCTGCAATTGTATCCATGTTGCTCGTTGACAAGTTGGGGAGACGTGCTCTTCTCCTGGCAGGTGTGTTGATGATGGCCACAAGTATTTGGTTTTTAGGATTTGTTCTAACCTTTGATCCCGTAAGTCAAGTGGTGATCCAGTGTGTGGAAACTCCATTGTATCATCAATCTGTTTTGCATAATATATCTCAAAGTGATCTTCCGACTTCAATACCAAAGACACCGATTGCTCTAAATATTTTTTTAAAGAGAAACTTGCCTTTGGATCGCTTAGATATTCATAATTCCTCAGACCTACTACATAATATTGGACCAGCCTCTTTGCATTTAATTCCCAAAGTTCCTAGCATCATATCGCCATCAAATTTGACAACAAAAGATCGTGTGTTCTACGAAACAGTTTCAAATAGTAGTTCTTCTGTTGGTCAGGCAAGGTTACTCAATACGACTGTGTCGATAGACCTGACGAACAGTACTGCCGAGTCTGGAAAAGTTTCATCTGTAAAGTTTATGGCGTTGGCTGCGCTAATGTTGTATGTGTTTGCTTATGGAGTGAGTTTTGGTCCAGGTAAGAATTCGAATGAATTGAAAAGTCATTTCAATTTTATAGAATGATAAATTCACCCTCAATTGTCGAACTTGTTTTTATACAGTTTACTAATGGTGGGGTCCTCATATTTCATGATAATAAGTAATTCTATGTTTTGTCCAATGTGAAGTGTAAAGAACTGACCGACATAATTGGATGAAATTGTCCATTTTCTGTGTGAAATATAGATAGGATTCAACAGTAATTAGTGGGATTTATTACGATATTAACAACGTATTTGTTTAACGCAAGTTGTTGGGGATCCAAAGTCGTGTACTCGCATCAAATTTGGTGCGTGTACTAATATTTTAATTAACACAGACGTGAAATTCTTCTTTGCTTTTAACTTCTTACTCTAAGATTTACTGAAATATATTTCAAAGTTTTTTTTTTCTTCAATTTTAGTTTACGTAAATATTTATTATTTTTAGATTATATATCAGTGAATTTATGCACTTATTTCTTTTTTTTTTTTCATCTGGTTGAATAGTAACTTGGCTAGTTCTCACCGAGATATTTCCAACTATCATTCGAGGTCGGGCGATGTCTATAGCAACATCTCTCAACTGGGGAACAAACATTGTCATGTCAGCTTCATTTTTGCATTTTATGGGTGAGAACTTAAAAAACTTTACACCTATGTTATCTAATATCCCAAAGATCGGTTGTTTTTACATCGGTTGATTTCCTTGTGAATATGTTTTATATAAAAAAAAAAATTATTGAAATAATATTTTACTGCATAATATAATCATCTAAAACGTGATTGGCTGATATGGAAATATGAAAGTTACACTTAGTGTAAAAAATAATTGCAAGTGGGGAAGAATTTGAAACAAATAGTTTAAGATTTATGCTATGTTCACCGTAACCATTGCCAGCGATGCATTTTATTCAGTCCAGCCATCCCGTTGAGCTCTGGATTGAGTCATAGAATGTAATGTTAAAAATATATGAGAGATCCGTCACTGATATCTGATGACAAGTAAGTTAATTTTAGATCTATTTTTAATTCTCTTTTTTTTGTCTTGTACTTCAAACAAATTACAAGAGTTATTGCACACTAATAATGGTACTTCACAGCAGGTAGCATGATTTGGTATATCTTGTGAAAACTTGCAAAGAAATTCTCACCAAAACTTTCCAGGAGTGGTTCATGTAGATGGCATTTAATCTTTAGGCTTCAGAAATTTCACCATTTTTTCGTGAATTAACTTTATAGAAACAATAAGCAGGCCTCCTACAAGGCTTACATTTTAAAAACCTACTAATCTTCTAAAGAAATATCTATAGAGAAAATATACAATTTATCTTAGAAATTACACACTAATAAAATCATCGCAATTTTAACAGTCGAACCTGATTCTGCTTTTACCCTTTTAAGAAATAAAATAAATGTGGAATGTAACAGAAGTACTGATTATCTTGTTGTAGGTTAAACAAACAAAAATATGTGATAATGCAAAACATTTTGTCCTCAATTCTAGATTTTAGGGGATACAAATAGAAAATATTTAATGTAACGACAAGAACAGTGTATCTACTTACTTTCCCAATTTTGTCAGAAAAGTTTTCCATTGTTGCCCTCTTTCTGTGATCCCAAATTGGATCACAAAATATAATTTTTCAAATCCCTCAAACTTCTCTCATTATTCCAACATTTATTAGTCTTTTTTTAGAGATATTTTGTTGTTGCTTACTTTATTTGCTAAACCTAACTAGGCTTATGTGATGTCCTGTCATAAAAAAACAATTTCAGTAGCTTTTAAATTATGTCTGTTTGAAAGCTACTGAAATTGTTTTTTTATGACAGGACATCACATAAGCCTAGTTAGGTTTAGCAAATAAAGTAAGCAACA